GCTAAGGGTATAACACTCATGAGCCGTCNGCCGTCGGCCATGTGCTCGAACCCTGCTACCGTTCATTAACTTTCCAATTTCTGCTTTCTCGAAATGCCTTTGATAAGCCGCGGTTTCTCTTCATGAAAATTGATTGTGCCATTGTATAATCACTAAGTAAAAAGAAAGTTGAAACACTATATTAATATATTTACCGAATTCACGGGGGGGGGGCTCGAATAGGGACACGAAGTGCTGCAAATCCAACCGAATTAGACCAAACGGGTTGGCTCTCGATAGCTGGGTAGAGTCATTCGAACTCATCATAAACCTGAACGAGGGTAAGACAGTTTGTGATAGAATTTCTAGCCCATATTTAAGTTATTTCTCACGAACAATCATGGTTCGGCCGTAAGTAGAATAGATGTAACAAAAAAACGGATTCCCTTAGTCAGAGGATTGCCTGGGTTCATTTTCATCGAGTTGTCTAAATTCGTTTGCAAATTTTTCAACAATAACTGAGGTGACACCATCTGCAGTGCTTACGCCGTTCCCCAATCGCTGAAGAGGTCATCTCGGTCGGTGAGGATGACCCATTTGCAAATAAATCACCAAGCTACACGAACGAATACTGCCAGTATTGGACATGGCCAATTTGGCAAAAGTCGAGCTCGCTGTCGTAACCCACGACACCTGTACGTGTGCATCGTGTTTACCGTATAGCTTGGCTTCGGTAAACACATTTTCAACGAAGCTCGTGAGCCTCACATGGGTTAGGCATTTTACGCTAAAGTGCTCCAGATGGAATGACAGACAAACCGGCGCAGGTTCCACTAGGGAAGTCGTTCTTTCTTTGATGCAACACAAGGGAGGAGTTCGCTGCACTTTGCCCATACGGATCATCATTAAACACTTGGATTTGGTAGAGTACTTCCGAAATACTGACTGCATATCTAATGGATTAACAAGGATGTTGGCAAGTAGATAGGATAAGCATGAGGCAAATGCAACGCTGCCATAGCTCAAAGACTATTTTATAATATATCATATCCGTATTTGATGTAATATGCAATGAGGCATACAATGGTTATGAAGGTTTTTATGTCTCATCAAATCCTATCTTCCTATCTATGTTACCGCGCGAGTTAGTAGATGGCGTTGACGATGGAGCGATTGGGATCCAAGTCGCTGTTAGGGAGCAAAAATATTCGCTAAATAAGAAGAATCTAAGCGAACGGATACAAACAGAACACTTCACGCGCATTGGAGCTGATGAATTGTTTGCAAATAATTTTCTAAGCTCGGCGTAGCAATATCCAATTTATTATTCAAGATAATAAAAAGTATTATTAGTGGTGGTACCACGCTTCGTGTACATTCGGTAATTATAAGCTTTAATAAGGCTTTGTAGTAGCAAAGCGTGAATATCTACCACACTGCCAATTTGCTGTAAAAGCCCTCCCCCTTGAATTTGATTACCTCCAGTAATCTTCAACGTCACAACCGAATCAAAAGTCGACCTTATCATCTTCGCATTGTACTTGCTTTTTTCAGAATAAACTTTTACCAAATGAACAAATTAAAACCGCATCCTCGAATCATTCGGGCTAGAAACCACAGTCCCAACATATCAATCAATTTCACTCTGCACTGACTGGTCAATCCAGTTGGTTCTCGACTAACTTGTAAACAGTTGACGTTCGCGGATTTGTTCAGTTTCTCCAACACCCTCTCTTTCTATCTCGACGTCTTCTTTCTCCTTTGACAAATGTCGAGACGATGTTCAGACAATGCCTGACCAATATCACGCTGGGTTGTGATCAAAAGACCGCTTGCAAATCGCGTCTGTGCAGGGCATTCAGACTCCGCGACGGGAATCACAACGTGTGACCGAGGTCACGCAGCCCTCGGGGTTAAGGGTCAGCGAAATGTGGATCATGTGGTTGATTTCAGGTCACACTGCGATGATGCAATAGATTGACCTTAACTTTGTTGTAAAACCTTGTGACACGGATTACCCTGCGTGTAGGTGTGTGTGTGTATGTGTGTGTGCGTGTGCGTGTGTGTGTGCGTACGTGGGTACATTCGCGCGGGTGAAGACAGCCCTCCCAGGCTGGACTGGACTGGATTTGACTGGCCCGGACCAGACAGGATTGGGGTCTAGCTTAGAACATGAGGTCGATTGTGGCGACTAACTGAAGTGACAAACAAGATTGGAATAGCACGGTCCGCTGATAATGCAATAGACATCAAAGATCACGCTCGCTTGACAAAGACCCTGGTGATAAAGAGACTCGATTTATTTAACTGGGTGAGCGAGAAGAGCGCAGTTCAAGTCAGAATGAATGATTGCATTTGTTAGCCACTGCTTGAGCATACAAATGGACAAACAAAGTGTGAATATCGAAAGTTAGTATGAACCAGGAGGAAAAGACACCAGATAACAACAACAAAATAAATTATCTTGAAAACCACAATATGCACTGAGATGTCATTTCGATTGGTAGAGACTGGATAATTGAAAGGCTATTTATCCTACAATGCAATCGCAAGTGACATGTGCGTCTGAAAAATGGAGGAAGTACGGTTGCACGGTTGTTGTACATATACAGGTCTTGGTCGAACTCGTGCAGCATGATTCGCTATTTGGAAACAAATTTCACTTTCCAGTATTATACATGTATAGCGATAAATATGAATGAGGCGTATTTATCCTAAACGTGATTTCCCATTGCAGTGTTCTTAGTTCTCTTGTATCACCGCTTGAATTTGCGTGACCTTGAGTAGCGCGACAAAATTTGCCGTAGTTCGACAGTTACAGCTCAGAATTGAAAAATAGTTTTTGCAAAGCAGCATGAAAGTTCATTCTTTCTGTTTTACATTCGATGCACAGTAAATAAACCGATTAGTTCAATTTTTATAGTCTAAATAAAATGATAAGTTATGTGGCTACAAACTGCTGCCGGCAGTGGCTAATGGGGGATATATGTATCAGAAGAAACTGGTCAATGCTGTTTTTCAGTCAACTTGTCGGACTCCATGCAAAAACGAATACGTCCAGTGCTGAATAATAACGAGTGGCAAATTGAGCATTACCGAAATGACAGTACAATGCCTTGACCGTACCTATGAGTCACTTTATAAATAAATCCCAATGATGTTATTATTTCACAACTGATGCATCAGAACCCGTCGTCGAAATCGACAAATCGCATATTGTGATGGCATTCACTTAAAAAAGCACCGATGTATATCAGTACAGATATGCTGTGTCTGATGTGAGGCAATGTCGTATTTAAGCCCGTGAATGAAACTCGAAACATTAGGCTTTGAGAGGGACAAATGTAATACAAGTCAGGGTGTTGCACGAGTTTGATCAATCCCCGTGTGTGTGTGTGTGTGTGTGTGATGGAGAACATGTCTTCGGCAGAGAGAACGAGAGAATTTAGATGAACCAAGAATAACCCGGAAAACGAAAATTTCCAATCAATCGAACACCCGATCGATACCCAAACATTTCATCATACTTTTTTATAACCGTTTGAAATCTATTCACCTCAAGCATTCTCTGCTCCCCCAAACGAAATCTGATAACAGTTTAGCCTTCCTTGCGAGCGATCTGGAATGAATGTTATCTACAGTTCTCAAGCGTCAATAAGTAAAGATTAGCTGAAACTCAGTTTCACAGTGAGTCAGTTGCAAAAGAAAGAAAAGACTATCGGATGAGCCCCTCCCCCCTTCGACGAACACAGCTACAAAGAAGACCTAGTAGAAACACAACGTTAGAAGGTCATACCAATAAAATTAGTTGTTATGAAACCGGTCCCTAAAAATGGCTGTCTATTCAACCACGCAACTCACAGTTTGAAAAATACTCTCAAGTATAGTGGTTTTTTCTTCCCAAATGCACGGATCACCAGTAATTAAACAGTTAGGCCTCCAAGTTGGAACGCCTTTCGTGTTTTTCACCAGCTCGTTTGCACTCAAACTGGTAGGAAGAAGCATTGTGTGGTAAATCAAGTATCCGAATACTTCGCAAAATGAAGCATGTAGTCATTGATGTAATCAGCATCATTTAAGNTAGTGAAAACAACAAGTCATAACAGCCGATCACCTTGTTGACCCGATCGATTCGCTGCTCAAAGTGGTGTTACACAATCAAATTGCAAATCTCAAACTCTTACCGAAACAGTGATATGCATTATGCACAAATCTCCCTTTGTGTGCATAAAATCAATTTACTGACTATATCAATCTTCCTTGGCGGGAAGTAGGTCACTCATCCTATTCTATGAAAATGAACAGCCAATCACGCCCTGGACTATTGCTGCTGTCATGTCAATGTTTCTATACGATCACATACTTCGCTTTGGTGATCCAGGAGCTTAGTGCAAGAACTTGCATTTCACAATAGCTATCCTTTTTCTGTGCCAACAGTTAAAACGGCACTGAAGTTATTCAGTTCAAACATGATTATCTTATTACTCGAATTCCTTTGCCACTGTTTAAAGATATTTACCTAAGGAAATAAACTGCTGAACGGTATATCGCGTTCGGTTTGTTAGTGTTCTCTTATGCATTCGCATCGCGCAGATGTTCTATGATAACTGTTCAAATGAGCGTACTGTCAGCTCACCACGGCAAATCATGTCATGTCATGGAACTATCACGACCTTTTAATCGATTGGTCGATCGATCCCTGGGTCGCACAGGTCTGTGATCAAAACGCGACAGCTGCTTTGCTTTCCCAAGACTTCCCAGAACCGCAACGACAGTGACCAGACTGTGAAATGCACTTGAGGAATTAACAACACGAGACTGTCATTCTTCACCTTACTGTATTCTGCACCAGTACATCTCATTAACCCATCGCAAACGGAATCAAAATAACGGAATATATTTCACAATATATTTCAATCTTAAAGAAGATTTGGGAACCCGAAAATCGATGCATGCATTACCAACACATGAGATCATCGGTTTGTTTATGATATCATACACCAGACGGAGAGAAAGGGAAATCATAACGCAATGGATTCACAAACGAACAATTTCAGTTCAACTAACCGAAATTCCTCCACAATATCTATTTGAGCTATACGGTGCAAGGTGATGCGCCGCGACACCACATGCGCATTGTCCGCACCCGACCGCACAGTGACAGACATTGGTTCTTCCTCGTGGAACCAACCTCGTTGTTGTCCGCACATTGGATTGTGTGCGGTGGTGACTGGAGAATTGTGGACCATGGGGGAAAGCTAGAGGATTCTGTGGTGGTCTTTTGCTTTCTCTCACCCGATCGGCGTAAACTATGGTGCTGTGGTTAGACAGCAAACTAGCTGACCCAACTGAGTACCATGTGGAAACACAGCTTACAGACAAGTCCAGCGCGTCAACCGGAGCCGTAGCAGTGGAACCAATAGCAAATATGGGGTGCAAGCAAACTGTGCCATTCCCGCTGAATCGAACAGTGAATGATACGGAACAGAGAAAAGCAGGGCAACAAGAAGCAGTAGCAACCACAAAAATAGGGATACAGAACGTCCAATTTCAGGACGGAGAAGAGTTTAACCGATTCCCCTTACCCTAGTAAATGATAAGAATATGGCTGCATTCATCGGAAAGGATAATGTATAGGTGTCTGCACACACATATAGATACATACATATGTACATCCATCCATCCATCCATCCATCGATACATACATACATACATACATACATACATACATACATACATACATACATACATACATACACATACATACATACATACATACATACATACATACATACATACATACATACATACATACATATATATATACATACATAAATACATACATACTTGCTTGCTTATTTACTTAAATAATCACTTAAGTAGTTACTAACCTGCTTGCTCGTTTGCTTACTCACCTGCTTACTTACCCATTTCATTAATGAATTACTTACTTACTTATTTGCGTACGTGCATGCACACACATACAGACGCATATATATA